ATCATTATTTTACAGCAGCAGAGTCAAGGACACAATTGCTTCACATGTATAATAGAATTACCTAAACATGAAAATATCCCTCCAAACTGAAAATTAATTATGATTTCTTCTTCCACATGCTTTGAACACCAGTCCTTGTAACCTGATCCCAGGATCATTTTACTCCTGTTAAATTGGTATTTTCTCTGAAGAGATTAAGTCCCAAACCTGGTTTCCAGTCTTTACACACAGGATTAGTCACACTGATTTAATTAATTTCTTACCTGTGTAATGACAACAAGATCAAGTGCTAATTTGTTTTCCTATTCTGAAGGGATAACAGCAATATCTTGGATGTTCTAAAACCCTGTTTACCTTCATATCTATGCAGCTACCCATACATGTAACTCTTGAATTGTGTACTGAATGTACCCACACCCTTGCTGAACTGTACACACAGGGAACACTTATAATTGAGATCAAGTTACTGCCATGAGCCTCGGGAGCATTGTGAACCTGGTACCTCCAAATCCCCAGGGTTACTCCTATCCAGCTTGATCCCTGTTAATAACCAGAGACACCCCAACACCTCTGATGGTCTAAGCCTCCAAGCGATGTGCAAGAGGGTAAGGGGACTGAAGAGTAGGAAAGTATTTTCAGTCTCAAAAACCCTTTGAGGCTTGTGAGGTGGATATCCAAACAACCTTGTTTCAGTTTTTGAAACGAAAATGTGAAAAGATGTTTTTACTAAAATTTAGAGAAGTCCAGTCAGATTTGGAAAGTTCCTCATCCCAACCTTGTGATGGATTGTATCTAAAACTTCATTTTCCTTTGCCAAAATTTGAAGTTCACTCAAATTAAGAAAAAGTGTATGATATGAAAACATAATGTATAGAGCTCCAGAGGTGAACAGTGGTCCAAACAAACAGGCTCAGGATTATGTTTCCTCAATATTTTTGATTGTCGAAATAGGCAGACAAGGAAACTGCTTGCCTGGGATACTGGGCCCAGTATAAGGGCACTGTTGCTATGTTCAGCTGTTTTCCTATGTTGAGGGCTTCCCAAAGCACCTTATAAAATGTAAGGTAATATTATTCTATCTACAGTAAAAACCCAGATACCAGGGCCATCACCAGATGTGCCAGCAGAAAATAAAATTAAAGGCTTATCATATAAACTTCTGTCTAGAGAGGCTGAAAATTACTCCCAGCCTTTTTAAAGGTTGCAAATTCTTTACATGCAACCAAGCACAAAGGGATCCTATATGAACAAGG